AAGGATGTAAAAATAAAAAATCTTTTATTGAAGTTAGTCCTGGTCACCTAGTAATGGGAACATTTTGATTGGTATCTGAGCTTAATTTAAAACTGTGTTCAAGTTTGCATGGAAGTTACAGGGTTGATCCCCTGCTTTGTTTTTTATAATCTATACCAATGTAATTTTATAAACACCTTCATGATCTTTACAAAAATAATAATTACACGTCTTTTTTTAGATTATTGAATTTTAATTTTCCTTAACTTTACAAATAATGGCTGCTGTACATGGAAAATCAAGTAAGTGTGCTGGTAATATTGCACTCATCCACTATGAGAATAGCCCGCCGTCTAAACGTCCAAAGGTACGTTTTTCGCCTCTTTGCAAGTAATGCAACACCTGCTAGTTGAATTACGTTTTGTTTTATATAGAATATTCTATATTTAAACCCATCTTTTACAGATGCAAATGAATCCTGTTTTTCGACTTGATACATCACGGTTAAAGAAATTGGTAGAGTGCACTCACTTCGTAGACAAAACCCTTTTTATAAAGGCTTTTTTCGATACTAGCGGTATAATATTGGTCACTGCTCCTAGTAGAATTGGGAAATCCTCGAACATGGACATGTTGAAAACGTTTTTAGAAATAGTGGTGGACGAAAACGGAAATGCCATTAACAATACAAAGAAAAAATCTGGTCAATTTGTGGAGAAAGCTGACCATCAGCTGACAGCGAATTATAAAATATTTAAAGAAAACCACCTAAAGATTTACATAGAACAAAACGATTTTTTCAAAGAACACTGCGGACGTCACCCAGTAATTTATATGAACTTTAAAGCTGCAGTTGGCCCTACGTTCAAGATCATGTTAGCTCAGTTTAATGAAATTATTTATTATGTTTTCTCTGACCATCAGTACATTTTGCAGAGTAAACGATTGAATCAAGAAGATAAAGCATTGTTTGCTTATTTATTGAACAAACTGCGATATGGGAAATTAAAAGAAGCTCAATTGCAAGGAGCCTTAAAAAAATTGTCGCAATTTCTGTATATCCACTTTGAAAAAAAAAAAGAAGCAGTAATGTTAATCGATGAATACGACAGTCCAATTGGCCAGGCATTATTTATGGAGGAAACATCAGATGCTCAGACAATTAATTTCATTGCCACGTTAATGTCTAATTTACTGAAGGATAACAGTTTTGTGGATCGTGGTTTGATTAACGCTTGTGTACGGCTGGCCAGGGTATTATCAGGCCACGCAAACAACATCGTTCATTTGCAATATTTGGGTGACCACGAACTTTCCGAGTTTTATGGCTTCAACAAGAAGGAAGTTAAAAGTCTTCTTAAAAGTGTGGGAATGTTAGAGAGATACAGTGAGGCTAAATATTGGTGCGATGGCTATGTGGTCTTCAATAAAAATATAAAGTTATATAACGGCTGGTCTATTATAAACTTTATGCGGGAGAAAGTCGCACGAAAGTTTTGGATTGAAACAGTTGACATGGCATGTTTGCAAAATGTATTTTCACTTGAACCAATACGAGACCGAATTTTCGAAATGCTTCAGGATCATACAGTAAAGATTTAAAAAATTGAAAAAATTCAGATCACACATATACAACACTTACAGGAATTGATAAATACACCTTTATCTTCAAAAGTAACTAATAACACAGTAGATTTATTTTTACAATTTATGAGTGATTGTGGTTATTTTAACGTGAGTGACACAAACTCACAACGGTGGTTGAGCTTACCAAATAAGGAAATAGGGGAAGAACTCGCACAGAAACTATATACTCTACCATTCTTTATCAAGAATCACAAATTTATTGGGGACAGAATTTCAGCATTCACACAGGCACTCAAAAATTTACAACCAGACAATAAACATAGCTTCCGCAATTTGGCCAAATCTGTTGGTAAATTGTTTTTCGAGATTCCATATCCATCGAATGAGAGGAACTTCGTGCGCCTTTAATTTCTTTTGCAAATGATCATCCCAGCTTTGAAACTCATGCTGAGCTCTATGTTAGAAAGAACAGACATTTCAGACTTGATATTTTAATAATCAGAATTGATGGTGTTGCGATTATTTTAGAAGTAAAATGCTTCAGAGAATCAGCCATTGAAGCTCTTAGCCAAATACTAATAAACAAGTATTACCGTATATTAAGAAAACCAGAGTTCAAACAGCGAGTTGAACAAAGAATATACATTGGTTTGCATATGAATCGAAATAAAAGTGTCAGCTTGTCTTATCTAACGAACATCAAAAAAATTAATAATAGGCAAGATGTTTTTTATTCACACTCAAGATAAACTGTTGATTTCATGTACATCGTGTTTCTAGGTTATCTAAGTTAGTGTAAATTACAAATTACCATTCTTAAATCTTTCACCTATTTTTAAATGAAGGAAATGCTTTAGTCTTGTTTTAATTAAGTTGTTTGCTTCGATATAAATAAATATATTGTTCAAATAAAAACACTGTTTCATTAGCATATATTTATCTTCCCAAATTAGGTTAATAAATTGCAAGATTTTGTACAACTCTGTCAAAGTTAAATAGTGATCTGCTTTGGTCCAGAAATGAATGATAATTTGGAATGTCTATAACAAGGTTATTTTCAACGATTTTTGTGATCCCAATTTTGGTGGTCTGGAGTTCTTTGGATTATTTTTGGGGTGTTTGAAGATAAGTGAGTTTTTCAAGTACTTTTCTTTGATTTGTACACACGCCAATTGCTTTGACCCAGAAATGAAAAATTATTTTTAGCGTGTTTGAAAAAAAAGGTTTTTTAGGTTCTTTTTGGGTAACTTGCAATGACTTTTGCATGCCGCGAATTGGCTTGGTCCAGAAATGAAAAGCTATTTTGAGGTGTGTGAAAACTAGAGATTTGACAATGCTTTTAGAGCAGTTTTGCTGAGATAATTTTAATTGATTTTTGCATACGCCAGTTGGCTTGGTCTTGAAATGAAGAGCTGTTTTTGAGGTGTCTAAAAACAAGGGAATTTGTAAAGATGTTTCCTGTTTTTAAGGTAATTTTATATGATTTTGGGTGATTTTCAACAGTGTTTTCGTGTGCCCAACTTTTAGTGGGTACTTTTGGGGTGTATTCGTAATTTTTTGAAGGATTTTGGGTCTTATTTGGTCATTTCTGTTGGTTTTTCACCGATTTTTATGGATTTTCCATGTGCCAATTGGCTTGGTCCAGAAATGAAACACAATTTTTGGGGGGTCTAAAAATGAGAAAATTTGTAAAGATTTTTCCTGTTTTTAAGGTAATTTTGTATAATTTTGGGCGATTTTCAACGGTTTTTCCGTGTGCCCAATTTCTGGTGGTTTATAGATATTTAGGTATGTTTGAGGTGTTTAAAAATTCGTGATATCTGAAGGATTTTGGACAGTTTTTTGGTAGTTTCTGTTGGTTTTTTGATCAGTCTTTATGTATTTTTCCATGCGCCAATTGATCTGGTCCAGTAGTAACATTTTATACTCTACTAAAATCTGATAATTATTTTTTTAAACGAATTAGGATAAAGTCGTCACTCGAAATAATAATTAAGAACCAAAACACATTAGCCAAGAAACCTATGTAGTAATAATGTTTGTTTCTGTGCCAAAATCAATAGTGCTTTATCGATTTGTTCCATGCCATGCGAGGCACGCAATTTAAGTGTAAAAGAAGGTGTGGGAAATTCAACATACGCAAGCTAAACGAATTAAAATAATTGAATTAATTTAGGTCTTCGGTGACATTGTCAACTTATGGAAATGATAATTCATCAATAAGGGATATTTCACAACGAACTTTTGTTTCGCTCACAATCAATCATAAATAAATTAATAACCGCTAATTATACGTAATTAGTATTATGAAGTGAAACGACAGAGAAAGCGCAATTTCTGACACCTGTTACGTTTTTATACTATCAACAAATAAATCAATTTTAGTCAAACTAATACCATTCATTGATTAGTTTGAGCTTAATCCAATTCATGACGAAAACTTTGAAATCATTGCGTTATTGCTTTCACTCCTTTTATTTTTTGGGAAAATGAATTTAATTTACACTTAAGCTAATCCACGCTTGTCTGTGACATCTTCACGTTGTACCTGTAAAAGCTAACGCTTTCAAGCTTCAAAAATAACCAGAAGAATGCGGTTAGGAAATAGCATCGCCGTCCACATACTGTAAATTAGTTATTTGTGTGAGTTTTGTTTTCGTTTCTCGCACGAGAGACGCCCGAAACCGAATTTTTCGTCCGATTTTCATAAAAAGGTTAAGCTCCATTTCCTTGCATTGTATTAAAAATGTTTCCTGCACAAATGACACTTCGTGGTGACCTATGAATAAATAAATAAATAACAATATTCAGCACGCATATGTTACAAAAGTAACGGATCGAAATGTCCATCTAATTAAATTCCCGGTCAAGCGAATAATTTTAATTTTTTTCGCCTGCGAATCGTTAATCAAAAGTTTTTATATGTATTGAAATAAATCATTACTGGAACATGAAAATAAACGCATCATTTACATAAATGGATATAAACAACAAGAGCAAAATCGATGCAAATCGGCACATCTTTGATTTATATCACGAGAGAAGTTAGGCGAGTTATACGGTGACCCCCTTATATTTGCGATTTGCTTTGCTAATGTCTTTTATAACAGTCCTAATTCAAACGTCACGTTGTTTTTGTTTGTTGTTGAGGACATCATAAAGACCTGTGAATCACTTGCGCTCTTTATAAATAGATTTGTAATTGATGTTTCAACCGGGAGCGATATGTTACATTATGAGACTATCTATTTATAAACAACTAAGAGCAAAGGGAAAATCCTCTGACACTTGTCTACTCACCTAAAGATTATTTCGAGAGCTCATTCTGAACGCCTCACTTATTATTAATCTTTCAGAACTACATAATAATCACACATCGTAAAAACTAATTAATTATCAAAAAAGACTTTATTTTTCTGATGGTTCTCTTTTACCTTCTGTTTCTTCTTCGTCGGGGATATTTTCCAAACCAAAAAGTTTATAAGGATCGATGAGTCTTTTATCGCGTAAATATTGCAATGCTTCATATTTGTCTAACATGGACCTTCGGTAGTAATGACCACAAAGTAGCCAATTAAAAGGTCCTGTGAGGTAGTGAGGGGCTGCCACTGCTACTGTTATAATTAGGAAACTGGGGATTATTTCGTACCACATTTCTTTACCTACAAATAAGAACTAGAGAAGAAACAAATCGAAACATTTCAGCTTTAGCTTTACCAACAACAAGTCTTTTGAAACTTCTATCACAAGAACACCAAATATGAGTATCTAGGCTTTATTCCGGGTGTTTTTAAGGACATTAATTTAAAATAAAATACAATTTTATTGTTTGAAAGATGACTTACATCGTATTTTTTAAGAGTACTTCACCCAAAAAAGGTCATATTAAGGTGGTATGCTAATAAATAAATGAATAACTAAATATGTTTTCGGCAGACAGGTGCGAAATTCCTTTTTAAATTATTGCAAATGCACAAAAAGTATTTTACTTACTAATTAATACTAAAGGTGGTGCTGTATAGCTGGTGCTGTATAAATTCTTTGGAGAAACAATGTTCTTATATGGTGAATATGAAGTATGGAACGAAGCCGTTTTGTTTTAAATCATTTGTTTTCAGAAAATAATAATTAATATAAATTAACGTAATATAAAAAATGAGATCGTATTTTGACAACGAATTTTTTTCTTGTTTCAAAATTGCAATTTATGTGCAAATTTTTTTTGAAAAAATTAATTATGAAGTAGATATACTCTTTTTCATACTGATGTGCATCAAGTAGGTTGTAGAGTGTCATTAATGTCTTTATGTTTTGCTACCCTATGTTAATTACGTTGTCAATTTTAATTATTTTTTGCTACCTGAGGTACACAATTATTTGAAAAATATTTTTAGGGAAGATTGATGTTAGGAATGTTTGAATTTTCGCATGGTTGCCACCTTAAAGTTATCCCTTTCAACGACTACTTCGATGCACATTAATTTGAAAACGAGTATAGTTGTAATCCTTAGATCATAACCTTTATGAGAAAAATGGTTTTATAGTGGGTTGCTACTTAAAAAAATAATTTTTCTTGTAGAACTCAAAAACAAAAGAAAATTTCGAAAAAAAATTATTCTTGATAAAACACTACATCTTAAAGTACTTTATCGTTCATCAATTAGTTTTTCCAAAAAATTAATGGTTTAAGCGAAAAACGTTTGGTTCCATACTTTTTATTCACCTGGTATGTATGTATTATAATTATGTTAATGTTTATAAAATTATTAGTGACTTTTTTGAAAACTAGGGTACCTATGCCATTTGCCAAAATTACGTTAACAATAACAATTACAACAGTAAAGCTGATGTATCAAGTTAAATCTAAAAATTGACAGAATATATAACACCATCGTTATTCGTTGTTAGTTACATAGTTAGTACACAGTGAAAGATTAGAGTTTCATAAAATAAAATCACGAGACAAAGTGCAAAGATATTGAATTTTTGTTGTAATTACTAGTAGGTTCTAACGGAAAACGATGTTTTCACTAAATGTTACATAAAATCATCAGTAAAGAAAAATTGCCACTAAAGTAGTTCTTTACTCATGTCATGTGTTTTATTTGCCTCGACTATGCCTCAGCAACTAAATAGGTATGATTTCCTTCTTTTTGTTAATTTTAATGCTCTTATAGTATCAGTAGTAATTTTCAATACAGGGTATCCCACGTAAGACTTTCGCATCTAATATCTCTGTTATTTGCCAACGGATTTTTATATAATTTAAAATGTAGACAACTTAAAAGGTTAAGATTCAATTAGTCTTAATAAAATTACCTCAAGATAAAAAAATATAATTTTAACACATATTGTTCCAATTTAAAATTAAGCGAAATTACTATTATATTGTTAAGTACAGTGATGGACAGTGAATTTCGTCCACCCAATTTCCATGACAGATTAAAAGTGTAAATTAGTCTTTAGGTTTTCCTAACCTTGTTTCAGAATTTTGATTAACGTTTGTCATATTGACAGAATGCTTGATGCTTCTTGTTACTTTTTACCTTTGAGACACATCTTTGAGACATACCCTTTTGTACTAGAGAGATCATTTTTATTTTATTAAACGCACTTACTGCTGGTATGTTCGAATTTGATTAAATTTGACAATACGTATTTGAATGTCAGTTATCATGACAATAAAGCACAGACTACAGTGAATTTTTGTGAATTCACAGAAATTGGGTGGACAAAATTCCCTGTCCATCACTGTACTAAAAAATTGACCTCTACATAAAAAAATAACAAAGTCACTCGTCTCAATCAGCAGAAATACGTCGAATATGTTGTTAAAATTAAAAAAAAGTAATGCAATTCCTAAATTACGTTATTATTTTTAGAAGTTAGAGAAACAATAAACGTCAAATGTCAACGTCATTGTCGCGTGACAATCAAGTGTGATTAAATTAATTAATTAAATTAAATTAATTTTAAGTAATTTAGCAATTTTAAAAGGCATGTTAAAATACATTTAAAGGACTAGGGTTGTTTAAGAAATGCGATATTAATCTCTACGTACCAAATACTCTACATTTTAAATTTCGTTAGAATCCGTTGGCAAATAATAGACATATTTAATTCGAAAGTCTTAGGTGGGACACTCTGTACATACCTATACATATTTTGTAATTGCTTTTAAAAAGTGACAAATTTTTAATTTGCGTGAACGAGTTTTCTAACAATTTTTAATGTTAGTACATTTTTTAACCTAGAATTGAAGTTCTTGTTATACAGGGTGCGCCAGAACTCCCAGAAAAAATGTCATATAAGGTAAAATACCGGGAACATGGAAAAAATGTCAAAAAAATTAATCTATAAAAATTTCGAAGTTATGAGTTTTGCACTTTCTATTTTTGGTGGAAAAATAATTTTTCATCTTTTTTGCTACAGGCTATTAGAAGAGGAAATAAGAAAGCTGTATCCTAAATTTGTAACTCGGTTCAATGTTAATTGTGGCTTTCATTAGTAATTTTTTTATACTTTTACTAAATAATTTAAAAAAATGTACAAGATCTTCAGTATCAATAAATAGACATAAAAATGTCAAAAAATAAATTTCAAAATTTTTAATAAAAGTCACCAAAATTAACCCGTTTGTTCACCTGACCGTTATTCACTCAGTATAAAAATAAAACAACCTACACTGGCGTTCTTATGACAATATTAAAATGCAAAACAGTCAACCACATGAATTGCCTTTCTTTATTTATTTAATACAATTATTTGGTATCTATAGGTTTTTTTTGTAGTCTAACAAGAAGCTGTTAAAAATCGCTAAAGCTCCTTGTAACCTCATTAGAAGGATAGAAGGTGACATTTTTGATATTCAGGTTAAAAGAATTAATATTTAGGAAATGAAATGCAATAGCATTTTTTTGACTAAATAAATTTTATTCATTTAAAAATAAAACCAACAAAATGTGAGAGTGCAAAGATAAAATGGGATGCTGCGCAATCAGGGCGTCGATCCCTTGAACGCTATTGGTTTCATCTCTTTGATCCCGTTGGAGGAAAGCTTCGAAATGAACTTGCGCAAATCTACACACGACAGTAATAATCCTTTTATTACACCTTGTTGAAACACTGGAGGTAAGTAAATCAACGGTTCCTTGCGATTTGATTACCCTATTGCCTCGCTAGAAAATCGCTGTGTTTATAATTAATTCTATAAATAAAATAGAACCGTCTCGAAATAACAGCTATTGTCTAAATTACTGTGTGAAGTAATTCCGTATCGTGCATTCTATTTTCTAGTGGTCAGTTGTGGGGGTAGCAGAAAAATCGATCGACTAATCCGCGATACATTTGCATATCGCGGGTCAACGGCGACTAATAGCCGCCGGCATGCCACCTCACCAACACGAAACTTCTAAAAACACTAAAAACTTGCCCTTTTTATAACAATTTATAGCCTCATTGCTATGCAAATGTAATTAGTTTCATAAGTCGAGACTGGTTCTATGGCAAAAGAAGAGCGTAATTGAAGCCGTTTTGCTTTTGTAGCACCCTCTTGAACAACCACAATGCAATCGCAATTAATTCAAACAACAGGAAGTTGAGCGGATTCAAAGGAAATAGCCTCGATATTTCTAAACAGTTGTTTACGTCATTACACATGTAAAGATTTCAAAATCAAAAATCAAAGCGATAAGAAAGTGGTTTCAGACTTTGATATGAGTTTCAAAAAACGTCAATTTATTATTTTTATTATTTTATCTTGTTTATGGCCTGATTCCCGTGTCTAACCTCTGCCCTTTGGGGAAGCTGACCTTTGATTATTTTAATACACTTTAATTCCATCATCTGATTTTTATCAAACGAAAATTTCAATACAAACTGAAAATCAACGACTGCATCTACAATGATTAAGCACCAAGAAATATAACAGATAGCATCATGAAACTGTCATGACCCAGTAGTCGCAGTGCTGTGAAACAAGTTTTGTCGCCCCTCAAGATTTATCGCAAACTTTCCTTCTCTACAATCACGATTCTACCAATCTACACTGTAATATTATTTCCTAATTAACTCCTCAAGTCAATTGTAAATTATAAATTCCGGCAAAATACAAAACTGCACGTTCTCCAATTAATTACAAACGATACAATTTGCGAAATCCAATTGTGTTTTAATGTTGCAAAAAATTTTTCAATTTATGATTGGGTTCATCGCCAATGGGAGTTGTAGTTACTTCCTCGACATCGGATCAGATGAAACTCTTACCAATTATAACCACTTTTCTTGGCTTTGAACAGGTTTTGATAAAGGAAAGCGAATAAAATACTATTTCGGTTTTTGCTACTGTTGCTTCATACGTCAGTTACGTTAAAGTAATTACGTACATAGGCAAAGAATGTTTTATGCTTTCCGTTGATACGTGAGTGATTTAAGACAGTGAAAAGCTAATCGCAAAATTAAACGATTCTCAAATCAAAAATTGGAAAAAGGACATGTATTGGAATTTTCAACATTTTTTGAACTAAACTGTAGATATTTGTATTACAAGGGAGAAAAAGACACTTTCCTCCAGTGTAATACATATAATTTTTCCTACAAACCAGCAAGAAAAATTTCAAAAATAACAAGTTTTCTTGATTAACACAATTTTTCGCTATTAAATATAGCAGCGTGTTTTTTCAGTTTCCATGGGGGAGGTTACATACAGAGAGCGGCAAAATTATGGAATAATCTTATTAAAACTAAAAATATGTATTTTGTTTTGGCAAAAACGTTCGAACAGGTCAATTTTCTTTTTAAAAAATACACAATTTTAAATTTTTTTAGCAAATTCAATAATTTTTTTTAATTATCGAAATAACAACACCAAAATATTACATAAAGTTTTCGAAAAAAAATCATCCAAAAAGTGAAATAATATCAACAAAAAACAAACATGCAATTTTAAATTAAGTTGAGATATTTGGAAATTGACCAATTCGAAAATTTTAAGATTATTCCATAATTTTGCCGCTCACTGTATATTTTTAATGCAATTTTGACAGATGAGGGAGGAAAAGTTTTACTTCACTGGGAAGTAATTGGCTAATTTCCTTTCTGAAATTAGGGTGGAAAAACTTACTTTTTGTTAGGGTTGTAGGAAAAAAATATTACTTATGTAATGTAAAAAGTAAAGTTATAATTATTCGACTCGCTCGTGGAGTGAATTTTCTTGTTGTATATTTTACGAAAAATGAGACACTGATGAAGTTAAAATTTCTCCCATAAGTCGAAGGCTTTCAGACAAAATTCTAAACAAACTTGGTATTTCCTTTTATTATTATAGTTTATCGAAGTTTGGTATTAACATTCTTGTTTTATAATGAGCTATTAATACAATTCATAACATTTACTTGGGCTTAATTTTTATTAATTCACAGTTTTTTTTGACTGAAACACACTTCTCTTTCTATATTTATATGTACAATCGGCCATAAAAACCAGCACAAGTAACGTAAATGCAAAACGGAATTTTAATTTGCTAATTGCATCGATTTCGTGTTTTGCATGTTAAACACTGAAAATAATAAATGATGCAAAAACAATTTCAATTTTCTCTACAGTGAACGTTTCTACTATTAATTACAACACTTGCGTCCCTGCCAAAATAATAATTTCAAATTCTTATTAGATTGTTTATCAAATCATTTTCCGTGCGAATTAAGTATTCACATTTTTTCACATAAAAATTCGAATTTTATTGCTTTACTAAATGCAATGCAAATTATTTCGGAATTAGTAGCACCCACGTAAAGAAAGCGGCCTTAGTCTCAAGGAAGCCGTCAATCAATTATTTTTCTAACCACAGTGTATACGTTTAATGCTCATCTGATGGATGTATTATGGCCTTTTGCGGCGGCCTTGTCTATAAATAATAATATAGTTATGGTATGTCATAAAGTAATTAATTCATGACTTGTTACTAAATAGAGATTGCTAAATGAGGACCGACTGAGTTAAGCCGATGAAATTCACTTTTACCTTTAATCGAGGGCCAATGGCCGTAATAATTGGCAAATGATCTATTTATGTTTTAAACGAACAATTAATGTTTTGATTTTTATCAGAACTGAAAATTTTACAACTCAATTAGGAGAAATAACTGATGGCGTTACAAGCTCACAACAATTTGAACCGAGCTTTACGCGCGTTTTAAATATAAAATTAGTTAGTCTGGGTTAATATTGAGTCAGTTGAGTGAAAATAAATCTATTGGCATAAATTCTCCCTATTAGGTAATCGCTCCTATTAACTACTTTTCCTCCTAATTATATGAAAACCTCTATTTCGAACAGAAGCAATTTGTAATGTAAACTCCGGCAATAAATCCTGGCGATAATTTTCATTGTATAGCCATGTGTTCAATTGATAATTCCTCCCAGATGCTACATAAATCTAATCTAATACAAATTCCCTTTGGCAATTTTGATTTTCACCTGCTTGTAACGGCACTCGACGTGCCTATTATTCGAAAAACAAAGAGAGTAAAGTACGTGCCAGCGGAATGTAGGAACGAGTCATTCGAGAAGATTAGTCGTCTTCGGATTATTGTCGTTGGCGTCCGCTGACAAAGAGAGACCGAGGCGTTGGTAAATGCGACGCCACTAAGCGAGGCGTCCTGGCGCATTTCCAACCATAACACAACTCAGACAAAATATTAGAAGGAGAGACGAGGATGCTCTGTCACGAAGACGGCGTGAATTACGACGCGTCATTAACTACCTCCGTGCCAATTAGGAGGCCACCGATGAGATGGACACTGAAAAATCAGCTCTAACGACACTAAATTCGATACGGGTTTTTAAATAAGAAACATTGTCAGATTGGTAAAATGTGGCTTCGCGAAAGGAAATAGACGTAATAATAATTTACGATATGAGCGTCGTAAAATTTAATTATACGGCTGTAACACAGTCTGTAAAAAATATAATACGAGGAAACATTTTTTGGATCGGACACGGACCAAAAATCAATTTCAAATCGAACATTTTCACACAGAAAAAGTATTCACTATGGCACAGTTTTAAGTAAAAAGTCGTTTTAAAGTCAGGCAGGACAAGTTATTATAGCCACAGGAAAATGTTCTACTACACTCGTACTTTAAGCTTAAAATATTTACATTTGCGGAAACATGGATTACACACTAGTCATATAACTGCAAATTTACTGTAATTTCAACACATCCATAAGAAGAAAAAGTTAATTATAGTGTTAATACACTTAGTAAATATGATCTTTCTTAAAAATTTCTTACTACAACTCCATTGACACATGAAACGACATGAAAAAAAAAACACTATTGTAATAACTGAAGTTTTCTGGTTAGATAAAGATAAAGAGCTTCTTTCTATCTCAAAAAAAAGGTGATATAATTACTCATTAGAAAAATCTGAAAAATGCTTTATTTTTATTTAATGTTAACAAAATGTATTTTTTCGAAAATAAAAAGAAAAGATTTTTAAATAATACCAATCAGAATTTTACGTTGCTGGTACCCTTTTGTTGTATTCAACTTGAAAATTCGTTAAAATCTCTTTCGAGTTGTTTATACATAGAATAAAACGGGAGGAAATGTTGGGAAATTATAAATCTGTAAACCCATATCAACTTGTACGTAATTTGCATTTTATAATTCGACTCGTTCACGATATTAAAAAAAAAATATTCACTTCGTTCTTCGGGTTTACCGTCCTAATGTAATATTCATCGTTATTTATCGCGATAACGGCGACTCAGGTATGGATTTAAGGGTAAATAAATTCCAGTGTAAGGTATAAGGCACGAGTGAACCGTTTCAGTTGTATATTTATAAAAAAAAAATGCTTGAAAATATTCTCATGCAATTAACTACTTAACAAAATCCATTGCTGATAAGCATGAAACTCATAAAACTGAGCAAACTGATAAGGTGACCGATCTGTTTTCAGGATTTATAACACACTGTGTAAAACTGTTGAGGTCAGAGGTTAACATTCTATTTTCAAGCCGGTGACTTTTTGTCCACTGGAAAACTATGAATCTTTCGATGATTGATGGGAAATGTTGGTATAATTTATTGTTATAAGGCTGGGCGATAAGATATCGAGGGAATATAACGAATAACGACAATATCGTGCTCGCGTCGGCTCAGAACCTTATCACAACAGTATTTTCCAAAGATGTGACTCCTCATTTATCGATCGTATCCATTTTGTAACTAAAAAAATAAAAAAAAAATTGTGACTATAAATATGTTAAGGATACGATACAATCTCCCTCGAGAACCTTTCAGTTCACTATTCTTATTATAGTCTCATTTCATGCCTCGAATAGGTTCTTAAAAGGCTCTATTATGAGAGACAAGTGAAACAATTAACGTGGTTTTCCGCTTTCGTTTATCAAATTAATCATTTATTATGCCATTTAAAAGCTATGCTATCAAAAACTCTTGACCCAATTACAATTTATTTTATACTAGAAAATTCTCAAGATTTATTCTTCGAAATTCACACAATTTAATTGTCCTATTTTTATCACAATTCTGCAAATTGTTATCTGCCTCGTAAATCAGATGCAAAGAAAATAAAACGTTCGTATTTACCCTTCACATTTATCACGTTTGGCATTAGTGACAAACATTAAATTTTTTTATTGGATTTGGTCAACGATCTCATAACAATAAATGTCAAGTTAAACCAAGAATTGTTATTACCTGCATTTGTACCATAAAATGTCTAATTTTACCGATAAAAGATGATTTCAAATTTGTTTATTTTTCCACATAAAGTATCACCTAACTGTCAAATTAGAAACACAACACATTAAAAAATATTGATTGAAATAAGAGAAACGTTTAGAAGCTGTAAAAAATTTGTATACACGTCTGGTCGGAAGTTTATAGGTAATACAAATAATAGTACATCAATTCTATTTTTATAAAGTAATGTTTTAAGATATTAAGTTGGTGAGTTATTCTTGGACTCGCATTTATTTTATTGCTTAAAAAATCACTTGGACATTGCTGATACAATAACTTAAGTAAACTTCACATATACCTAACGAATCGGTAAAATGAGTCGATAAAAACAGAGATTATTTTGTTGAGTGTAATAACGATGTGTGATTATAAACTAATTAGTGTTTTTAGGTTTTATGCCCAATTTTATAGTCTCATGTCCATACACAGTAAAATACAAATTAAAATTCATTTGCGTGTTAATAAATTCTTGGAGGAAATAGAGAATTATTGAAAATTATTACGAAATATGCGAATCAATACTGTGGGTACTTTATTAACATTACCTACATTCAAAAAATTTTGACAATAATACAAGTTTTAATTATTTGCTTGTTGATGGTAAGTAGCTAATTTGTCCATTTTTATCTTTTTTTCTTACAGAGGGTATGAGTTGCCTGTTGCACAAAATCGCACATTTTTTCGTAAGAAAAATAGACATTAGGTATTTGATAATTTTCTCCAAATTAATGTTACTTTACCTAAATTCTGCAGAAGTTCGTGATAAATTGAGAAAAAAACTGTTTCAGTTTTCACAATTCAAGTAAACTCAAAATGGCACTTTTGGCATTTGACAAGTGTAAAAATTCAGAGCACACTTAAAAAAAAATGTAAACTTCCATGTCCTACACCAGGCAGTGTTGTTATAAATCAAAATAATAAAAAGTATTACGGAATTTTTACGTATTTGTTTTGAAATTAGCCACTAAACTGGTTGTTTTCTGAAATTTTTACAGAATTTGGTTAAGCGACACCATCTATTCGTCAACCTAAACACTACTCGATCCCTACATTACCGACAGTTCATTGACAACTGGACTAATGTCACCAAATGTCAAAATAATGCGAAATAACGTGAATTTTCTAAACAAAAACAATATTTAAGTTTTGTACCCCCATCAAGTTGAAAACTGACCCGAAATGACCACCAAGTGCACCATTTTCGTTTTCATTGTCTTATCCGTCACTACCACTCTAACACAAAGCAGCGACATAACCCCCTTAGTTTTTGGTACATTAACCGATGGCATGCCCGCCGCATTTGGAGATTTTAATTCCGACGAACTAACCGACGTTTTCGTCCTTCGAAATGGTGGAAAAACCGTTGAGATTTTGTTAGCACATGAGGAAGAACCGATACTGCGAGTGGCCAAGCCTAGCTTGTCTTGCACCTTTGAAAATAAACTAATCACAAGTGTGGTGCCTGGAGACTTTGATGGGGACGCCTTCATGGACGTTATGGTCACTCTTGTATACAGAGGAAAAGAAAACGAGCATTTTCCACACACTTATGCTCATATTATCTGGGGTGGGGCAAGCCATTTGAATTGCAGTAATGAAAGAAAAGCGATTCCCATGATCGGACAGCCGCTGGCGCTTGACTATAATCAGGATATGATTGTTGATTTGTTTGGGCAGGATACGGATGGAACTAGGGTGTTTTGGGTTTTTAATAACACAAGGAATCCACCTGAGAGGATCCCCATGGAGGATAATATGCGCAGGACGGAGTTGAGCAGACCCCACGCTCATGCTTTTATCGGTAATTTACTTTTTAGTAACACTGAAATCGTATTAATGTTGAATTTTAGATTTAAATGAGGACTATATGGCCGATTTGTTCATAACAACAAAAGAGGATTTTGAAATTTGGCTAGGAAGCGAACATAAGGGCAAATTTATCTACAAGAAAAGCATCCAACATCCAAAAGGGGCGAAAGTAATTGGCCAATCACTCTTCATGGATGTTGAACTCAAAGGTCAAATGGATTTAGTGACTCCAATTTGTTTCGACGACAATTGCCAAAATAGCGCACTTTTGGTCTACAGCAACGGCGAGTGGCACAACTTGCAAGTGAATTTCAAAGACGATTATGGGGCCACATGGGGCTTTGCTCTCAAACCTGGCAGTAAATACACCGATACTATCACTTTGCACAGTGGTGATTTTAACATGGACGGATATCCGGATATTTTGGCCACTTTAAGCCCCAATAATCCGGAGCATCCCCAATCATTTTTGTTAGAGAATGTCCCCTGTATGACCAGTTGTGGTAAATTTAAACGTTCATACAACGTAAGATGGAACATTTTGAATTCGTTTAAAAATGGCACTGCAATGGCTGCTTTTTTTGACTTTTACCAAGACGGTATTTTGGACGTGATTTTGGTCTCTTACCATAATAAAGAATACAAAGCTGCGGCTTTCAAAAATAGTCTAGATTACGACGCGAATTTTATCAAAGTCATGGTTTTGACCGGACTTTCGAATAAGAACAATGAAATGATTATGGGGCGAGTAGGGAAGAAAAGACGCACTTACGGTACTAATTTACCCGGTCCTTTGATTTCTTACAAGACAACAACACAGGAAGGTTATACACGACATGGTGCTTCAGCTCAGATACCTCAATCAGCCCACTTTAGTCTCAATTTGCCATACACTATTTTTGGTTTAGGGAGAACACCAAACTTTGTTGATTCTTTGACAGTAGGTTTATCAAACCATTCAAGATCGTGGAATCAAATTATACCAAATTCCCAAATGGTAGTAATACCATGGCCTGCAAATGAACCATCACGATGGAAAGCACAATTATTCGTGACTCCTAGTAAGCTAATTTTAATGTCTGTAGCGGCATTAACCGGCATTTGTGGTATCATAACTGTGATAATTGGAGTCTTGCATTGGAAAGAGAGGCAAGAGGATAAGAAAGAGCGGCTTTCCGAGTCTCATCGTTTTCATTTTGATGCTATGTAATTAATTGTTTTAATTTATTTTACTTTTTTAATTTAATAAAGTGTTAGTTGTTTAAAATTCGCGCCGCGTTTTATTTGTTGTGGTGGTATCCCCGGATTGGTTTGGGCCAATCACATCGCAGCTTCGTTTGACTGAAAAATTAATTTCCCGTCGCCATTATTGCGACGAGATCGCGAGAAGTGTTTTCGTGTTAAAATTCGTCGTTTTCGACGACAGGGAGTTTCCTGCTCCCGAAAGTTGCTCGTATAACTTTCCCTCGACCTTTTCGGCGTTTGAAAATTGGGAGAAATACTGTGTTCTATAAGTATTTTTCTTGTTTAGTGATTTTATAAAACATGGCTTTTTAAAATGTCTACTTCGAAACTGCGTGTTGCCACTCCATGTGGAGGAGCTCAACTCTCCCAAAAATCTGCAATTTTTAAGACTGGAAGACGGTATGGAGAAAAAAGGGAGTCGTTTAGTACAGCCTGCCTCCAAAGGGCTTGCTTCTGACTCCAAAAAAAGTCAAGGTTTGTATTCGTTGTGGAGGTCAAGATTGTGCCAATATGGCGGCCGGTTTGCAAATTTACGTAACAATTTTTTATTTAAATTTTATTATTGCACACGTTATGTACTTTGTTTTCTCATATCAGAAGAAAATGATAAAATGGAACGGTAGAATTGAGCCATTGAATTTTATCAGCTGATAAATGACGTAACATCTGGACGTTTCAACTTTTAAAATGAATATTTGTGGTAAATATATTTAACAATTTAACTAAAATTGAACAAATTTTAGCGTGCTACAGTGATGCTTGTCAAAACTTAAAAATCATCTCAGCTGGTCATGAATCCAAAGATTGGCAACATTCCCAAAATACTTGACAACCACTTGACATCTATAACAACGTTGCCAAATGTATTTTTTTTTACTTTGCGTTCCTTTAGTCACTGCTTTAGTTATTTTGAAACCCATTTGAGTATCGAAAGAGAGCTTATGAAACGTGGTTCCGGGTGTAAACCGTAAAAATAATTAAAAGCAAGTAACGTAACCTTACAATCGAAATTATTTTTATTTTTGACGAATCTTAAGTTATATAGGATTAATAGGGAAACAACCCCTGAATTTATTATAAACAATGGTAACGGTGGATGATCTTGATCATGCTTGATATGATACATATAAACATACAGTTATTATAGGCAAGATTCACCATTACGGATATTGCTATCAATTAATGATGTTGATGAATTGTTTAAAATGAGATTAATGTAAGAAAAATTCCCCAATCTAGCCCACTACAGATCTTCGGCCGGGCAACTAATTAATGAATTATTATTAATTAAGTTATTATTTTTTATGTTATTAAAACGAGTTTCGTTAGTGTTGGAAACATTTTCTAACAATATTACAAGTTTTTAAAAGGGCTGGTTTTTGAATCTCAATAATTAAAATTGAATTTTATTTGAAAATTTCAAGATTCACTTTTAAATTGTTCTAATGTCTATTTATAGTTTAATAAATATATACTTACTTTTGCATTTAAAAATCACGAATTCACACACTTCACTTTGCGATAAACAATAAAATTAAAAATTAAAATGGACTCTCTAACCTTATATGGCATCTTCTTCTGCTATGCTTTCAAGCAATTTACCTCTGCTTCTTAAACGGACTTACTGAAAATAAAGAAACACAAAATCAGTTCAATGTGTTATTAAATCAGTTGAAAATATTAAATAAAATTTAAATGTGATTTTTCTAAAAAAAAAAAGTATTGTTGACTAACCCTTTAATCCGGATTCCTGTAGCACGATTGCTTCCTCCATTTCCCCATTGGCACTCACTAATAAATTGAAATGTTAAAAATCGCGCACTACTAAATGATTATTAGGCGCTCGAAACTACCCAACAACCCAACCCGCACTGATAATATAGCCCCCATTTCTACACAATTTCGCACTGAACCACGAAAGAAGAATTTATTCGGACAATTATTACAATTCAAGTAACTCGTACAGGAGCAAGACTACGACTGATTCGTTCGTTACCGTATTAATTCCCTCAAAAAACGGCAAAATATACAAAAACCCATTTCGTAACAGTTTCGTTGTAAAAGGTCTTTGTTTGGGGCTGCGTTATCCCGCCATTCGCAACGTTATAAAATAATGCGAATATTATTACACTTCGACGTTGATCATTTTTTGCACTCTTTATAGTCGTGCTAGCATCTGATTGGCTACAGGATATCGTCCAAACATAAACTTTTACCGAAAATTTATTTTTGTTTAAAGGTGACAATGAAAATTAAATTCGCCGTTAATCGATTTAGAAAAGGCGAAATAAAATTGAATTCAGGCTTAAACAAATCCAAATTAAGTTGTCAGTTAATTTTTTTATTCAAACATCAAATTAATCGTGAATTAAAATTTCATTACAATTAAGAATGCTCTGCAAATACTTTTGCAAAATAAAAAAGTGAAATTGTTTAAAACAAAAATGTGTGTAAGACTACGCCAATGTTTCTCGCAACTCGAACTTAAACGTACCGAGGTTTGCCGAGTTACTCCCTCGGTAGGCGCCGGACTTCGCCAACTTATACCGCATCAACTGTATGTAGATAATTAATTAATTACTACAAATACTATATAACTAAACAAAAACACAAATCCCAGCTGATTAATTAACAAAGGAAGAGTATTAGAAAATGTTAGCCACTGGTTATTCAACAGTAATTTCAATATGATTCAGCATTGTTTAATAGCTGTTGTAATAAACTAATGACACAAATAATTATGGAAATGATTCCTCTGTTCACTTTGGTGTAAATAATATGGAAATAGTGCAGTGGAATTCGTGGAAAATTAAATTTGAAACGAGTCCAGTAATAGTCAAGTCTATTAATTGTTGATACTTTGATTCCTCCTTATTTTAAACTTACTGCGCAGCGTTAAATACAAAGAAGAGTTTTGTTCGCTTAAGATATTTTTATCGAATTTGTTTTTAATTACTTAATCTTAAATAAAGGTAATTATAATACGCGTTAAACTCCAATTACGTTAATTAAATTACTAAATAATAAATAGTTTTAATTAAGTTACATTTTTAAAAATAATTTTCCATTATTGGTTTTTAGATGTTGCTAGTGGTAAGTTGTGGCCACGTTCGGGACGCCGCAGAGAGTCCGCTGGCGGCAGTTTATCTGCCAAAAGCGAATCATCTCGCAAACCGCCCCCACAACGTTCGAAAACCTATGATATCAAAAGACCTAGGCCGCGGGGAGCCTTCAACCCTGGTCCTGCTGTGGGTCGAACGGAGACAACCCGGCTAGATGAGGAATTTGAAGCTGAATTGGGTTCAGTTTTTCTACCAGGCAGTAAAAAACAAAGCCTTAATCATTTACTAAATTTCGTTTATGCGACTCCTTCACGAGAAGGACGATATCAATGTGCTGAAAGAGGCAATAAAACATCAAATCGTTACATCACCAAGAAGCATAAATACAACAAGGAACACTTCCTGCAAGCAAAGTAATTTTTGATTTTTGTTATTTTGAGTTTTGGTTAATTGGTGTTTTAACAGTTGCCAATTTGTTGTCAATACTTCGGGTGACTATAAGCAATATATGAACAACCCTGATGCCTTAGTTGATTGGAGTCTTATAGAACAAGTGGTAAGTTAAAATGTAGTGTAGTTTTTTGAGGTGATTGGTTTTTATTTTTTAAGAATGTACAAGTATCTGATTACCCGTCATGCCCAATCTGTCTTTATCCTCCAGTTGCTGCCAAAATGACAAGATGTGGTCATATTTACTGCTGGTCTTGTATTCTGCATTACTTATCACTTTCTGATAAAACATGGCGCAAATGTCCGATTTGTTTTGAATCTATCCATAAACAAGATTTAAAGAGTGTTGTTAGTAAACATTACAAAACGTTTAATGTTGATAATGTGATTACATTTAAATTGATGAAACGACTGAAAGGATCTTTGGTTACTTATCCTGCATCGGCAGCTGTCAAAGATGAAGAAATTATTAAATTTTCTGATTCAGAAATTGATGTTTATTCTAAATTACTGATAGCGAATCAAGCCGAAATTTTGTCAATTATTGATAGAGAAAATGATGAATTAAATGTGCAACTAGTGGAAAATGGTGATTGTCCTGAGAATTGTTTTATAGAGGAAGCTTTAACATGTTTGAATCAGCGAAGAGACACAATTTTGAAAAATTGTAAAACTTCAAATGAGAATGAAAAAGTTACCCTTGAGGAAAATTTAGATAATTTGCAAATAAACGACAACAACGATGAAACTTTTGATAATAATAACATCAAGGCCGAAAATTTGGACATATCGACCAACCAGCAATCAAAATTCCATTACTTCTATCAAGGTAATTTTCAAATAAAATAAAACATTAAAAGTCCAAAGTGTTGAGTACACATTGCCACTCTCAGGCATTGTGAAATTGTAACTTTGGCAAATTATCGCAAGGTTTCCTTTAGTGCATTTATTTTGACGTGAATGTACTTCTTCGGTGCTTTGCAACAATTCAATTTTGGCCCAAAATTCGAATTTTGAAGAGTTTATTTGTAGCATCTGACGGTCAACATATCTATCTTCATGCCATCAATGCACGAATGCTTGAACATACATACGGGTCTTTGGAAAATAGTCCTGAAACATTAAGTGGAAAAATCCTTGAAAAAGAAGGAGGATCTATGACTGAAGAGTTGAGAAAACGATTGAGATATCTCCAACATTTGCCCGTGACTTGTCAGTTCGAAGTTGCAGAAATACAGTTGAAACAACCAATTGTCAGTAAAGAAACTTTGGAACATTTTAATGGTAATTCATTTATTTTTAATACATGTCGCACAAAATTGTTTTATCAAATTGTTCATTTATCGATTTGATGTAATTTTGTGCCAAATCATTGTCAGGATAATTAGCCTTGATTGGTTATTTAATACCAGCTGAGGTCAGTCCCCTGTACTACATTGAATTATTATTATTATTCTTTGGTACTATTTATATATTTTTTTTAAAGAACAAATTGAAGTACGTCGTAAGAGGCGTCAGCGTCGCGCACGTGAAGAAAAACGCCGTGAGAAAAAAATCGCCGATGAGGAAAATCGTCTCATGGGTAAATACCCCATACCTAATTTACACATTGAGTCAGAGGCGCAATTTCCTTGTTTTGATGGGAGAATAAGAACAGAATCGGAATGTACCCAACCAAGTGAAGGAAGTTCGTGTGAGATAACAATAACACCACCAAATAGTCTCACTGTTGAGAACGAACACGCTGGACCTTCTTTTGCTAAAGTATTTTAGTCGTTTTTGTGAATATTAATAATACAAATAAATGTTGTAGATGTTGGCGAGTACGAAAAAAGCTGAAACTAACAAATGGCCATCATTGAAAGCAACAACTGCCCCAACTAAATTAATTAACGTCACTGGACAAAAAATTAACTCGAGTTGTTTTAATGTGATTCGTAATCGTAGTGACAGTGAACCAGAAACGGAGGATTTTGAGCCGATTCCACCAAGCACGAGTCTAGGAGATGCCATTGTTCAAGCCTTACAAAAAGCTGAGGAAAATGATGTTTTTACCGAGTCTGGTAGGTATTTTTTTGGTTTGTGTGCAAGGGAAATGACGTTTCTGTGTAGGGTCGCAACCTGTTGGAAAAAAGAAGAAGATTAAAAACAGACAAAAAGTCCTCTTCACTACCACTCTGGCTTATACCGGGAAATAATATACGTATTAATAGATGTACATTTTTCAACATTGCTGCATAAATTCATTCTTGCTTTAATTATTCATTTATTAATTTGGTCATTATTATGATGGGTGTTAAATATTGTGGCCCTTGAATCGTGGACAATAAGATTTTTTACAAGACCGGTCTTGGGACCTTTAACAAAGTCCAGGGTTTAGCAGGGGTTTGTTGTTTTACACGTTGTTTTATTTCAGAAATAATAAATAGAAACGATCACACTTGATTTTTATTTGACACATCCTACATAACACCTATACATATAATTACGTAAGTTAATTAATTAGTTTACACTTATTTATATCCAGATTACAATATCTCAAATATAAGAGTAATAAGTGGAAAATTTAAGCCTTTTTGAAGTACCGTTTCCCTTCAGTTCCGCTTTTCTCATGTTTCAAAGTCTACAAAATAATTATAAAATCGGAAAAATGGTGAAAATTTTGTTAATTTCCTTACAAGAACGCATCCATTATCAGTAGCCTCGTACGTTCGAATAATTTTAGTATTTTCAGGACCAATTGAAACAGTTACAAGAGTCGAATCGTTTTCCATCGTAGTTGTGCTCTTAAAATTTTTATTGTTTCATTCTTAAAAACTAGAATAGTACTAACTTTCAACGTTCCTCCTGGCATGTCCTCGTCGTATTCCTCCCCCAATTTGAATTCAAGCTTTAGCGTCCTAAGCCTTGTAATTGTTGTAATAGTCCAACAATCACCGTTATTTGCAATTGTCAGTTTTGGACTCGTAAAACTCATCATCTTACGAGCAATGTACGGAACCCCTAAAAAGCGTAATTAACTCTACGAATTATAAAAAAAATTCTTACCCAAAGCTGAATAATACTGGTCTAAATTTTCACTTTTCTCGTGATCATAACTTCCAACAAGTTTCGACATTTTGTCTCTTTAGAGATCAAAGCGGTCAATCTACTGCAATGTACCATTCAACTTATCAATTTACGTGATGATAAAGCGATTATTTTATGATTAGCTTTCATTGGCGCGAAAATTTTGTAAGTGGCCGCATTTGGGATTGACCAATCACAATGCGAGTAGTCACGTGTGTCGCACTACCAACTCAAAAATTAGAAAATTATAACCTCAAAATAATGCCAAGGATTTTTAATTAAAACATGACTGAATCAGTCCAAAAAAATGAAAACGATAAACCAAAAATTGAAGACGAGTGGCTGGTAATTAATTTACTATCGAATCTTGTTTTTTCGAGGAAAAATTTTAGATCCGTCCATGCCCCGTTTATGAAGAAGAATATAAAGAATGTACGTCGTTCAGAGGCAGATTTCATCAATATTTCATTTTTGGCGAAACTCTAGACTGCATTTCTTGGAAAAGAGACTATGACAATTGTTGCCGGTGGCGTGAAAACAAAGATGTGAAATCAGCGGTAACTATCAATTTTTTGTCAATAGTTTCGAGCAAATTTTTGCAGAAAGAAGTAATAGAAAATGAAAAACGGAGACGTAAAGAACGACTCGTGCCCCATTTCTCGAACGACGTATGGTCACGACGAAAATCGCCCCCCGAAAATTGGAATTCGCCGCTCCCTGAACACATCCAAAAGGAATACGAGGCTAGTTACCTAAACATTAAATCCAAAGAAATGAGAGGGGAGATTCCGCCCCAAACTGATCTCTCCTCGTATTGTACATTAATGTAAATTATGTAATAAAGTTAGTATGGAAATTGAGCGTTATGTAAACATTGAGATTTTTTTTTGTAATGTTGGTGAACATGTCTGGAACAAAATGAAACCTATCATCGCTGATTTGTTAGTTGGGTTAGGCGAATGAGTCAGAGGTGTATGAATGGTATTAAACACCAAATAATTATAAAATAAATTTACCAGTCGACAGTATTACGTCTGCGAAACTATTCTTAATCAAAGTACAAATATACATATCAGTTAACTCTGTAAACAACGAAACTTTGTGTACATAGTGTTCAAGCAAAAAGTGCCTGTGATAAGTTTTCCTAGTGATTATGGCTAATAAAGACGATTATTTGACTTACTACCGCGAGTTTTTCGAAAGTTTTGCTCAAACGGTCAATCCCAACGATCAACTACCTGTTAAATTAGGAAGCTACAAGTTGATTAATTTAGAAGTCATCGGTGGAGTCATCGATTGGACGACCCAATATTTAACCCAAAAGTAAGTCATTAAAGAGAAAAACTTACATTTTTACGTCAAAAACACTGGCACTTGTTTGTTTTGTTTTTTCAATGTTTACTTCGACGTACGCAACGATTTAATGACAAGTGTCAAATGAAAACAAACGAGATGCACTTCCGGTCGATTATTCAAATTTGGATCTGGATTGCGAATTGGGTTAACGCGTAGGTCGCACTGTAATTGAATGATTGCAATTACGAGGGTTATTCATTAGAACATTTGAGGTTAATGAGTACATTTGCGAAGAAGCGTTAATTATTACCCCATTATGTTTACGAACTGGCAACCAATTAATCTTTTCATGGCTATGTTTACGCGGGCTGGAGTAATAAGACACACCCTCCGGAATAATCCGGAGCTGCAAAGTTAGCCGAAATTAAATTACTTTCTTGCCGAAAAAAAGCGTGACATCAACTTTTAACGACTCGTAAATGTGCAAGAATTTATGCAATCGTAAAATATTAAGTGTACAACCTTTTTGCATTATTATTTTTGTAAAATCGTTGGTAAAATCCTTGGAATTTCTTGTGAGAAAATAGTAATGTACTAAAATTATGTTTGTTGCATTTCTTATTGTATGTAGAAAATGCTGGTTAACCTTCGTTTTACAGGTCACTTGAAATAAAAATTTAACTTTTTTGCACTCTCCCAATTAATCTGTTAGTTCGGTAACTGTAATTACAACAAGACGTAAGGAATTGAATCATACAAACCCACAAGGCATTTTAGTGTCATTCATTCTTCGAAAGTTGAGTAAATTTGGGTGGGTGATCGATTATTATGTATACAAGTATTATACAAATAACGAGTTCAAGCGTTATTACAAGAGAAAAAAGTGTATCTATTTCACCCACAGATGGTAAAGAAGCTTTCCTCCAATGTAATACATATAATTTTTTCTACGATCCATAAAACTTCAAAACTAACAATTTCTCAGTTTTGCCATTAAGTCTAGCAGCTTGTTTTTCCATTTCTATGGGGGAGGTAAAATTTTTATCTCCCTGAGAGGTTACATATTTATTATTTTTATTGTAATTTTGTCAGATGGACGACGAAAATTTTATCTCTGGTAGGTAATTGGCCATTTTCCTTTCGGAAATTAAAGGGGAAAAACTCACTTTCTGCTAGAATCATAGGAAAAATTATTTTATTAATAATTAAAAGGGATGTGGTTAATATAGTATACTGCTGATAACGACGGATCTACGTAATTTACTTTTTTTAGACTGTGATAATAACGATAATACATAATGCAGTTATGGAACAAATAAATATTTTTGTTATTTGAAAATTTATCATCAAGATTAAATATTGATAAAACATCATTCCACATTGCAGAAACGAAAACAGTTTTTTTATTTATTTTGGATAATAGTCATGCTGTTAATTAGAGTGTTTAAAAGGCCAATAAAGTATTCATTGGGGTTTATTTTTGTTTACAAAGTTGGTAGCGAGGTTAATGACCAATATAACTGTCAAACATGGAAACCATCATTTTTCTTTTTGTCAAACATCTAGGTATAATTAAATATTTTTCTGTTTTTTTTTTTTTATATACCATGTTTACAAAAGTTCATTGTTGCCTACTGTATCTATTTATAAATAAGATAATTATATATACTTCCTGTTCATAAACAACATTGATAGCGTAATAGTTTTATCCAGAATCTTTGATGTATACGAGTATAAGAATTATTATGTCATCATAATATCGTTTCATTTCCTTTTCTTGAACATTTTAATACTACTCTAATTATTAAATGTAATAAAACGGCGATTTTGTACGCCATTTCATGAAACAAGAAATATTTTTAAATCACAGAAACCATTATAGGGGCGCGGGTATTCCAATAATTATCGTAAATACATATTGTTAACTGGGTAATTGTAGGTCCTTTGACTTGCCATCATTAGCAGAAGTAGATAACAATAGCTCGTTTTTGGGTATTTCTTTATTCAAATTTTACTGGTTTATTGAATAGTTTTGTTGATACGAAAACAACAGAATATGTGCCTTGATGAAAAATAGTATTTTTGAAACACCCCTCTTTCTGAAATTTGTCAAGATTTATCTCTATTAAATTATTATTAAATTATTTGTCAAGTCTTCCAGTTGGCAAGAAACAGTTTTAAAATAATTATATTTTTGAAATCTTAAAAAGAAAATTTGTGAATAAAGTTGAATATTCTGGTTGAAAGTATTATATTTAAAGAAAACGTGCGTCGAACTTTAAAATATTTCGTGTTTTTGCCAATTTTAAAATTAATCAAGAATAAAGATGTAAAAGAATGTCAACTTGAAGTACTGAATTTTGTAAATTTGATAATTTAGGTATACTTCGGGATTTCCTATTGCCACACAAAATTAGAAATAGATCATCTGTATGTAGTACATGAGAATCTTATATCTAAACTTTAATTTACAAGGAGCCAACTTGACAAAAATAAGTTATTTTATTCTAGGGTTTTAATAATTGTAAGCATTTAAGGCGCCCAGTTTCTGTCCAATTTACTTTGTCTTTGCAGTGGAGTTAACACTCACATGGAATAAATGCGAAAAAATTCTTTTAACGGTCAAGGTTGCCACAGTTTATCCATTTTATATAATTTAATTGCTGTTGTGGTATTTATATTGCATAAATATTTGTAAATAAAAACAGTATTTGTGATTTTACTCCTTAATTTCAATTCAAACTAAAATGGGAATCACACAGTCGAGACAAAATGTTACATCAAGGTCTTTCGCCTGTTTTACATTGTAGTATTACTAATTTTGGTAAATGTAAAGTGTCAATATTTTGCAAAGAAATCGATAGAAAAACAGACATTTATTGAGGTGAACTCGCAAATGCTGTCATACTTTCAATTTTCCCCTCATTAACCGAATAATTATATCATTATTTTGACATTTGTGTACTACTGTACTATGGTAACGCTTTACAGAATTCATAGCACACTGGACTGTAAAATTATTACAATTAGTTGCTAGATAACAGTGATTTAGCAGATGTTACCAACATTACAATAATCCAACGATATGTTACTAAAAATAGTGTTTATTGTTAATAAAATCATAACTAATGAAAGTAATTAAATTACGTCGTGACGTCACGGAATTGATACCGATTTACCATGATAAGATTGATGCAAGGGCGAGCATTGCGCTCTCTATCCATCTCTCTCTACATCATCCAAGGCTGTCGCGATTATCAGCTGGCAATCGGTATTTGTGAACAACCGGCTGTCAAAATCGGCATTTTTGACGGGTAAGTACGCTATTTACGTCTTGTTTTTAATTTTTTTTAACGTCAAATTCAATTAATTTCTTTACGTAAACTTGCACGATAATCGAAAAACAGCTGTTTCGTTCAGAGTGCAATACATAACCCCACTTTTCGTTTCTCTTAGGTGAACGATGGATTGGTCATTATGGAGGCCTCGAGAGGAGACTCTGGCCACAATCAAGGAATTGTTACAAGACGCTCTTATCCCCGACAGCGAAATCCAAAAGGACGTCCAAACAAAATTGAAAAATCTGGAAATCGTGGAAGATTTCACCTACTATTTGTTATACATCGTCGGTCAGACGCACTTCTCCGAGGAAATCAGATCGTTGAGTGGAATTCTACTCAAGAATAACATCGCGGCGGTGTATAATAAATTGCCACAAGACAGTATTATTAAAATAAGACAGTTGTGTTTGATGTTGTTACGTGACCCGTGTCGCGACGTTCGCGCAAGTATTTCCAACGTGATTTACACTTTGGCCAAATACAACCTCAATACGTGGCCGGAATTGATCCCATTTCTCGTGAAATCGTTTGAGACTCCGGACGAGTACAGCGAAGTTGCCTTAACGACACTTTTCAGCGTGTGTGAAGAAATGATGAATCTTGAAAAATCAGAAGAGGAGATTTGCACAATTACTAAAGAAGTCTTCCCGAAATTTGTTGATTTTCTCGTCGACGAAAAGTGTGACAAAAAACAGAATATAATCAAACTTATCAACCAATTCTTGCAAGACCACTACAAAGTTATGAAACAATCAATAGACATGACGAAATATCTGAGGAGCGTGATACAGCTTGCTGATACTGATGATTTGGACATGCAAAAGTACATTTGCCATACTTTTGTTATGTATATTGAGTACCGGGAAGAATGTCTCTTGCCACACTTGCACGACGTGATTATGTACCTAATGGTGAAGACACAACACGAAGACCTTGAGGTGGCTCTAGGGGCATGTGAGTTTTGGCTCGCGGTCACGAAATTGAGCAACTGTAAGGAAATCCTGACTCCTTATATCGACAAACTTGTTCCAATCCTACTCAAAAATATGAAATACTCGACTTTTGAGTTAATCGCTCTCAAAGACACACTGAGGGTTGAGGAGCAGAATGAGGACTCGTCGAAGGACACTTTTCCGTTCCACATGCACGACAAGAGGATCACACGCGACGATGATTCTTTCTCAAATGAGGATGGTGATTTTTTGGGTAATTGCGACGACGTGGATGACTTTTACGTAGGGTGGACTTTGAGGAAATGTAGTGCTGCGTCATTGGACGCGATCGCGGTCAAATTTGGGGAGGATATCCTTCCTCTCATTGTACCGTTTTTGAACGAGTTGCTTTACCATCAAGATTTCTTGATTAAGGAGTCTGCGATATTAGCGTTGGGGGCTATTTCTGAGGGGTGTATTAATGGGCTAAAGCCACATTTGCCGTACTTGGTCGAGTACTTGATCCATAGTATGAACGATGACCATTCCATGGTCAGGGTCATCACGTGTTGGACATTGAGTCGTTATGTCAGCTGGATTATAAACTCACAACCTTCACATTCGGTTTATTTCATTCCGGTGATGACGATTCTTTTGAAACATTTCATGGATGACAACAAACGTGTGCAAAGAGCGGCTATTTCGGCCTTTTGTGTGTTCCAAGAGGAAGCACAGATGCAGTTGATTCCTTACATTGATTTGATTTTAGAAGGGTTTCAATTAGGCTTCCAGAAATTCAATTATCGGAGTCTTTATTTGTTATATGATGCTATTAACGTGTTAGCTTTATCGGTCGGGAGTGAGTTGAGTAAACCGGAATATATCGAAAAATTGATGCCGCCACTAATGCAAAAGTTGAACGAATATAATAATTATTCCGATGATCAATTCATTGCAGTTCTCGAATGTTTAGCCAACATCATACCGTCTTTGGATGCCGGCTTTTTACCTTATAGTGAAGTGATTTATACGCAATGTATGGAAATTATCATGGATACGTTTATGGCAGATGCTAATTTTCAAGAGAATTTAAACGGGTTTGATCCACCTGATAAAGAACCAATGCATGTGGCTTTGGATGTCCTTTACAGCATGGCAGTCGGATTGAAATCGTATTTTTACAAATATGTCACCAATAGTAACTTGGTTTGTCTCTTATACACCACAATGCAAGACTGTTCGTTTTTAATAAGACAGTCGTCTATAGCTCTCTACGGCGAATTGGTCTTGATTTGTTACCCGTATTTGTCATCAAGCGTCGGCGATTACATTAAATTGATAATCAAAAACCTCGACGAGTGTTACGAAGGCGTGTGCAAAAACGCGGCTTGGGTCATTGGGAAACTCACAGCAGTTATGGGTGCGGAAATCCGCCCCTACGTTCCGGAAATCCTCACCGCTTTCATCAACATTTTAAGAAATCCAACTGTATCTCGAGCGATGCATCAGACTGTTTCAGTTTCGCTCTGTACGCTTTGTTGCGTTTGTCCCGACATTACGTTGACCGACTCCGATACAGTTTTAAAAAATTGTTGTATGTCTTTACGGAGTTTGAAGGATTCGGACGAGAAGGATTTGGCGTTCCGGGGCTTGTGTCAGGTCGTCGTCCGGCATCCGAATTTCTGTCAGAACAATTTCATGTATTTTTGTGACGCAGTGGCGTCGTGGAATTCCGTCAAACCCGATTTGAAAGACATCATCAAGAATATTCTGGTTTCATTCAAGGAACAGTGCGGGGAGATGAACTGGATGCAGTTCTACGGCCAGTTTCCCGAATTGTTGAAATTGCAATTGTTTAATCTGTATGGGGTTTGATGACAGTTGGGATTACGAGGGGATCGAATTTTTTGGGTGGGATAGCTTGAGTGCACCTGCCTTGAGTTAAATCGCGTCATATCGTCCGTTGGGAGGGATCGCGGCTATCAACAATCGAGAAAAAAATCAATATCAAAGTCAGGGGGATTCATTGATTATCGTGGAATATGATTTACACCAAATGCATTTTCTAAATACATTTTTTAATCGTTATGTGTTTTTTTCTCTTTCGTAATGACAAGCATGTTACATTTTGTATGTTCTTTTGAGTAGTTGGTTTTGCAATTGTTGCAACACTACTTTTCATGCTGTATTGTTCTTTGTGGTTATCAATAAATGCGTAAATAAGAACTGTGTCTCATTTGCCCAATGTTACTTACTACTTAAAGTTGATAAAAATAAGGATTTAATGCATATTTTTCTCAACACACTTGACTTTCTTTATTGTTATACACGTTTTATTTTCTTGATGCTGTCTAACTAATTTTTTTTTTGTTGTTGATTTTCAAAATACAAGTCATTTTAATTGAAAATTAATAAATAAGATGTTGTGTAGAAAAGATTTAAGCCACAACTGAAATTCTGTAATACATCAAGATCTATAGAAAAGGCAAAATGCATAATCAAATTAGTTAAGAAAATTGATAAGAAATAGGAAATTCACTCAATTGTTTTCGTCACTTTTTGATATTTTTATTCACACTATTTCTTTTCACCACATTTTTTTAAATTTTTTATTTCAAAATTAACGAGCTGTTATTGCAATTTGAACAACTTTGGTTTTGTCTAAATTTTGTTAGCAGAATTGTAATTTAACAAAAAATCTACAGAGTAAGTTACCAGGAACATGGAACGTATGAAAGGATCTTATTTTAAAGAACAAATCATCATATTGGTGCATTAAAAAGTTAAGACTTTATTTTAGTCCGGTCAAATTAGTCATAAAAATAGTGGTCAAATAACGAAAATTCCGACAGAGCTAAATTTTGGTGGAGATCTTGGGTACACCATTAGAAATAAAGTGTTAAAAGTCCCCATCGATCCCATGAGTGCTAAAAAAGTTATTCGGGGTCAAAGGTCAAAATTTGAGGTTTTTTAATTTTTTTTTTCGAAAACGGTAAGTTTTATTAAAAAAGTAGCCCAGACAAAAATTATAGATCTTAAAATTATCTACAAGAACGGTCTTATACTTTTTTTCCAAGAATCACCATTCCTGAGATATCGCGATTCTAAAAGTTGAAGAAGTAACGTTCTACATCATATGCAGATACAGACTGCGCCAGAGCTCGGGCCCCAAAGACAAATACCATGTAGGGTAAGGTACCAGGAACACAGAAAAAATTAAAAAAAAATCTATCTATAAAAATTTCAAAGTTATGAGAGTTTAAATTTTGCACTTAATTTTCCCAGTTTTTTTGCTAGAGGCTATTAGAAGCGGAAATAAGGAAGCTGTATCCTAAACTGTAACTCTGTTTAATGTTATTTGTGGCTTTTATTGACAAAAATTTTGTACCTTTTCTAAATGATTGTAAAAAAAACATATACAAAATCATCAGTATCATTAAATACACATAAAAAAATGTGAAATGTCAAAAATTTTTGACAAATAGAATTTTTTAAACATTTTTTCAGTACTCTGGGGACTACCCAATTACTCCCTTTCAATGAAATGCGCGATTTTGTGAACACCCTGTATGTATTACCAAATAAATTACTTTTTAATTCTAATGGAATCGAGATATTTATAAGTTTAATGAAGTAGAAGAAAAATTTCAAGTAAGATAAGCTACCAGAAACATGGAAAAAATGTTTAAAAAATTTTATCTGTCAAAAAATTTTGACACATTTTTTGACATTTGACATTTTTTTATGTGTATTTAATGATACTGATGATTTTGTATATGTTTTTTACAATTATTGAGTAAAGGTACAAAACTTTTGCCAATAAAAGCCATAAATAACATTAAACAGAGTTACAGTTTAGTATACAGCTTCCTTGTTTCCGCTTCTAATAGCCTGTAGCAAAAAAACGTGGAAAATTATTTATCCTACAGAAATAAATAAGAGTCAAAGTGCAAAATTTAAACTCTCATAACTTCGAAATTTTTATAGATAGAATTTTTTTTAATTTTTTCCATGTTTATGGTACCTTACCATTTTTCTTTGGGACGCGAGTTCTGGCGAACTCTGTATGTGCATATCATATAGAAAGTGACTCCTTCAACTTTTAGAATCGCGATATCTCAGAAATGGTGATTCTTAGAAAAAAAAGTATAAGGACCATTTTGTAGATAATTTTAAGACCTATAATTTTTCTCTGAGATACTTTTTTGATAAAACTTACCGTTTTCGAAAAAAAAAATCTAAAAAACGTCAAATTTTGACCTTTAACCCCGAATAACTTTTTTAGCACACATGGAATCGATGGGGTCTTTTGACATTTTATTCCTAATGGTGTACCCAAGATCTACACCAAAATTTAGCTTTGTCGGAATTTTAGTTATTTGAAATGTCTATTTTGACCGGACTATTTGTTCCACTTTTCCTTTACCATTACAAAAATTAAGTCAACATTACAACTTCAGTATCAGAATTGATTTTTTTTGTTTACTTTTGGAGATGTGTCAAAAATTATAAGCAAAATGAAACGACGAATTTTTCCGAATACAATATGATTAACGGTAATCAATAAAAATATTAATTTTTACTTAAGTCTTTGCTAAAAATAAATTGACTTATTCCAGTCAAACAAATACTGAACAGAGGAGATAAAACATATCAGAGCCATTGAAATCTGACACTGTGTAGGAGTCTAGACTCGACAATTCCAGCCTCGTTTTATTGTTCTTTGAAATGAAGAGTCATTTTTCTCATGACCGAATTTTGTTTTTCCAGAAAATGCCCCCAAAGTTTGATCGCCCCCTTGATCCAAATCGTCATCGACGAAACTCGCAAATCGTGCAAGAAACAGCCAACGGCATGCGGCTTCAACCCGTCTGATAATGGTAAGTATCACTAAAAATTTTCAACACTCACTCTTCCGGAAAATGTATGCATTAACTGTGCTTTATTCAAATTTATTACTCGATTTCTCCACCGGAAGGTAATAATTATTCAATTTGTACTTCCGGATCCGTTTTAAACAATACGATTTTCGCTATGCTTAATAAAATAACAAATCTGGGAAAATTGAACTGATTCTGTATATATGTCTTGTGTGTTTATATAAATCAATACACTTACTACGGTGTTGGGTGATTCACTTGAGTTCACGTTTAAAATGAAATATTGTGTCACAAAGTGAATCATCCAAATTTTGAGATAAGTGGGGAATCTGCTACTAATTTCCTAATTTTTCAGCTTACGAACCCTTGAAGCTGATGCAGACAGTAATGGCAAAAACGAACGAGATTTGTCTGAGATATTTGGATAATAGTATGCTTTGTTCCTTGCCACCCCCTGGCCAACCCCACAACATTGTAAGTGTGTGTGCAGCGAAGAATAAAAGACGACGGATGGAAGATAGACATGTTGTAGTACACGATTTAAACACCATGTTCAATTTACAGGTAAATAAATCGACAGTTGTGTAAACAAGATAAAAAAATTTAGTGTTTTAGGAAGCTAGTCCGTCCAGTTATTATGCAATATTCGACGGCCATGCTGGTCATGATGCCGCGGCCTACAGTTCAGCTCATCTGCACCAATTTCTAGCCGAAAGCAAGCATTTTGTTGCTAATCCAGAGCAAGCTTTAATCGATGCCTTTTGCAAAACCGATACTTTATTTATCGATAAATGTAACGTTGAGGTATGGCCGAGAAATTTTTCTTGAGAAATAGATAATTCTTTTGTTTTTAATAGAGATTCAATAGTGGAACCACAGCAGTTTGTGCGTTACTTCGACCGAAAGAAAAAACGTTGTATATAGCGTGGGTGGGGGATTCCCAGGCCCTTTTAGTTAATCAAGGACGGGTGTTGCAATGTGTCAATCCACATAAACCTTGCCGGAGTGTTAGTTTCGTGTCTTATTTGTAAATATTTGAAGTGAATTGGCTTATTTTTAGGATGAAAGGGAAAGGATTGAGAAGGAGGGAGGGTTCGTTTGCTACTGGGGGACTTGGAGGGTTAATGGACAGTTGGCAGTTTCCAGAGCAATAGGTAAATGTTGGTGATCCATAGGGAAAATTTACTTATCTTCTGTATGAGATAAAACAAGAAAATTTGTTTAAAATAGAGCATACAAATATTAAATGTTATTTCTGTTGTAATCTGATGCAATTTACGATTAAAGAAATTATGTTTGTCGTAAAGCCCAGTTCTGTAAAAGATAATGGTCTATCAGATTAGATTAGAATTTAAACAAAATTTAATTTTTCAAGAATGCATTGTTCACGACTTGTTCCATATACAAAATAGTTGTTAACAGCACTAACTAACTTCCCTTTTAATTCAAATCTTTTTTTTTTAATTGAAAAGAAATTGCTAGAAATAGAAGCAATTTTCTTCCGGAAGCATTTTAAGTTTCTAAATATACGAGTAGTTTTTCTCTATACCACCGCATGGATTCAAGATACTTTTGGCAAATACTCAAATAATCAATATTTCTCCTTTATCTCAAAAAATGCTATCCAGGAGCTTTTTTGTCTGATGAGGAAGTAGTTTTGGTCTTTTTAGGAAGCTGTTTCGACTTCGTCATGTCAGTACACTGTCACTATTCGTTTGCTCACTAAATTGTATAATTAATAGAACAATCGACACGAAACTTTGCTTCTGAACTCCCAATGTTTCAAGTTTTAAATAATAAATAAGTATAATTGCTTTGATTGCATATTTAAAGTAATATGTATGAAAAATGTAACACTATAGGGTAAATGTGCCTAATGTCGACCACTTCCAATAGTCGACTAATAACATTTAAATTTAAAGGAATAACAAAAATATTTAAAATATTTTTCTTTTTATTACCCAACATGTTTTCCCGCTAGATTTTAAGTTTTGGTGTTGTGTCGTAGTCAAAAACTGTGTGGTCGACCTTTGGTATTATACATATTTTTTGTATTTTCGTGTTTAGAATTTTTGATACTAATGATAAAGTAAAATAATGGTGCAAATTGCATTCTTTAAACTGTAGGACTACTGTAAATACAAACATTAAAATAATTTCACGTAAAACCAATTTTTGTTCCCGTTTTAAAGACGAAAATTAAGTTAGTAGGGTGACCACTGGCGCATTTACCCTATTTATTATTTTTTCAAATAAAAATAAATAAAAATTTTTTGGTGAAAGTCAAGAAAGTTCTGAAGTCTCGAATTAAATTTTCCAATGTGTTTCATCCATTCGATAATCTAGTATTGAAAATACTGAAAAGTCTTTCTCTCTTCCTTTCATAGTAATTAAAATTTTATTATTTTTAGATAAGAATATGTATTTACTTATCAAATGTTCCACTTATTCCACTTATTTTACGGAAAAAATGAGTATTTCTATTTACTATAGTATTGAGGTATTTATTTAACTCATTAAATCTAGAAGTTCAAGATAATCAGTTAAGATTTGAGAAATAATTACGTTTTATCTAAAATATGTACTATTAATTTGTATTCATATTTTAATACGGCACTCTTCTTTTTTAAATTTATATTAATGATCTGCCTAAATGTATAAAAGATAAAAAATGTGTACTGTTTACCACAGATTGTTTACCCAATGGTTTGTTCAAAATAAAATAAAAAACATATTGCTGCAAAGGAGTTTTTACAATAGTACTAAATTTTTAAATTATAACGACAATACATTCTGTGTTAAGTAGTCTCTATTTTTTCTGTGATATACATATTTATACAGACTGTAGTATAAAAAACACTCCAAGCCATAATTTCATTACTTTTAAAGACGTTATAATACTTTTTTGCTCAAAGGTGACAATGAAATTTTAATTTGTCATTAATTGATTTAGAAAAGGCGTTTTTGACCCAATTTAATACAAAATTCGGAGATTAGAGCTAAACTCACACAATTTCTGAATTACTTGGGGCATATTAAACTGTTCCAACATTATTTTTCACACTTTTTGTAGTTTTTCAAAAAAAATTATTTTACTATACTGAAGAAATATTTGCCAAAAATCTGTTTCATACTCATGAGTTTGTGTCAGTTATACATATTTATGTATATCTTTTTTGACTATTGCTGCAGTTTAAAGTTTCAATAATAATAATGTTTCTCCTTTGATGAAAATTTTAATCGAATTAAATGAAAATTTGCTTAATATTATGATTCATTCTTCAAATCAAACTATTTGAAAAGTTCTTGAAAAATAGATCTAGTCTCATTTTGCAATAATTTAACTATATAAAACATTTTTCATTTCAGACAATTATTATAGCAATTATAGCAATTTTTGTGCATTATACTTAATAAAATTTATTATAAAAACAGCAATTTCGCCGAGGAAATATTTGCGCTCAAACAAAGTCGACATTCACCTGAAATGTTGAAACATAATATTTTATTAATATTTTTTTTATTTATTTTATTTAAATTTGTTTTAACTTTTATTTATTTTTATCATATTTCCTTTTTTTAACACACTTTATTTTCATATTTTTTCTACTTTTTTCAGTCAAATTAATTCATGAAAATCTAAAATCGTGTTAGGTTGAAGATGTTGCGAAATACATTATAATTAGAATTTTTGAGAAATATTAAAATTTGTTTATAGTTGGTCAAAATTGAATTTAGGTTGTTACTTGCTAGTTTTTTCTCTTTTATTTTTTTTTGACAATAAGGTCTAGTTATAAAACATTTTTGAAATATGTTAGGTTTTTGTTACTCAGTTACTAAATTTTATTTATTTACTGGTTGGTTAAAGAGTACTTTACTCTTATTTTTCTTGCTTTACTACGTTTTTATTTCCTAGTGCTTTTTTTCTGATTTTTTTTGTTTATTATTTATTTAGATAGTCTCTACAATCCGATTACCTCTTATTTCACTTACGTTATTTTTTCTTTTATCTCTCTTACTTTTCAATTTCTAAAATAAATTTTTCTTACATTAAGATTGAAAATGTTATTTTTGCCACCCAACACTCGACACTTCTGTTTCTTCGAAAATAGAAATGCCACAATCTTTCATCACTTGTTTTTTTCTCTTTAGTGGTAAAACAAGGCTGGATTTAATGGAGTATTAAAAACGAAAACCAAAAACGTGGCTTTTAAAATAAAAATAGATTTTGAATTGAAGTTAGACTTAAGTATATATTTTTTTCTTTGAAGGTGATGCAGAGTACAAACCATACGTAATAGCAGTGCCTGATATCCGCGAAATACCTCTCGATGGCGGCGAAGACTTCCTAATCTTGGCCTGCGACGGTCTCTGGGACTATTTATCCGAGGACGACGCCGCAAGAACCGTATACGAAATGGTGTGTAACAATCCAGGTACGTCCTAAAATTAATCCCATCTGCGAGCATTTGTTTCTGGTGGTCTACCACTGTTGTGACATGATTCATTGCTTATACCAATTCACAGCATTCCGTTTGTTGTCTAGCAATTAAATTTAACTTTGATGTTCTAAGTACATCACTCCCTCCTCGGATTATTTTCGACTGGAGTGGCAATGACCTACAGGATTGCCCCATTACGTCATACCAACGACACGCATGATACATATTTTTCAAATGTCATCGTCTAGGGGTTGACCCTTTCTAGTTTTTTTTATTGTATCGAGTCGGAACGGTTTTCGAATCACTAATTGAATTTTGTTCGTGTCGTAATGGCCGCTAACTAGAATTAATGAAGTGTCAAACTGTGGAATGGTCACAGTTCATTTCAATTTAACTGTATTTAAATTAACGAGTAAAAAGAAATTTGAAATGTTGGGATGGCAGCTGGAGATGAGGGGCGGCTATTTATAGGAGAACAGAGTGCCTTTCTCTGTACCGAGAACTGATACACTTTTATAGAATTTGGATCGATGACAACGAAAGGCGATCCATATTTAGAGATAATTTTAATCAATAATAGATCGAAAACTAGTTTACATGAAAATTATTTCAATTAACATTGTTGATTACTGCGGCTCATCGTTCTAACATTCCTTCTTAAATTCTTTATTTCAGTTCTTAAAATAACTGATCTGATCTAGAATTTACCTGAGTCTACATTCTTGAAAAAAATATCAAGAAACAATACATATATCGTAGGCTAATTGTAAATCCAGTCGTTTTATAAAACGGCTAGTCATATTTCAGAAAACGACTGGGCAAATTGTAAATGAATGAATAAATGCAGGATTTTTACAATATGACGGAAAATTTTAGGCGTATTATAAAAAGACTAATAAGTTTTCGTCTTATTATTAAGTACGTATGGTTAATTTATAATACGACTGAAACAAACCTGCCTCACAGATTAACTTTAAAAAGTTCAGTGTAAACTACCTTTTACTGTCATCATTACTGACATTTGACAATTAAACTTTTTTTGTCGTTAAAATTGTTAATTAAACAATTTGTCTGTCTTATGTTTAATTGAACTAAGTGTAATTAAATCATCGCTTTGATCTGCTGCCTACTCGTGGCTATGTCACAAATCAATATTTTTGAAAGTAAGTAAGTCAAAATAACAGTTTTCATTATGAAAATGATAATACTGTCCCAAATTTTAATTCCGCAACTGTACGATAAAATTGTTAAGAAAATTAATTTGTTTTCTTGAAATATGTTTCTTTTTTATTAATTATCTTTATCATTAAAAACGTTTAACATTTGATTTTGTTTTTTTTATAGATTATATAGAAATTGGTACTTATCTTATAAAATAATATTTTTCAGTCTTTGACAAAACGACCAAATGTAACCAGTGATTTTCTAAATGGAGAATACTTAAAAACATTTTACAATAAGACGAAAACTTATTAGGCTTTTTATAATACACCTAAAATTTTCCGTCATACTGTAAAAACCCTGCATTTATTCATTTATTTACAATATGAAACGACTGAATTTACAATTAGCTTACGACACATACATGTTACTGATTTTGGCTTCTTATGGCTTTTATGATTAAGTGAATTATTATTAAACACTGAGCATACCTACGAAGGATTTTTTTAATAATTTTTATTTTTTATTGCAAATTATTAAATAAAGATTAATTTTTTTTATTTATATTATTTATAAGTGTATACTTACAGGTGCGCCAGAATTCGCGCTCCAAATAAAAATGCGATGTAAGGTAAAATACCAGGAACATGGAAAATATGTTAAAAATATTCTTTTTAAAAAAAATTCTAAGTTATGAGAGTTTTAATTTTGCATTTTGACTCTATTTCTGTTAAAAAAATAATTTTCTCAGTTTTTTTGCTACAGGCTATTAGACGAGGAAACAAGGAAGCTGTATCCTAAATTGTAACTCTGTTTAATGTTATTTGTGGTTTTTATTGACAATATTTTTGTACCTTTACTAATAGTTATAAAAAACATATACAAGATCATCAGTATCATTAAATAGACAAAAAAATGTCAAATGTCTAAAAATATATGTCAAATTTTATTGACAGATAAAAAAAATTCCTTGTTTCTGGTATTACTTACTTACTTGAAATTTTTTTTGGGGCGCGAGTTCTGACACCCTATATGTAGTGAAATTTCAAGTAAAAATAAAGATTTTGGCAAGATAACGCTTAAGAAGTTAATAAAAAAATATTTTTAATAAAATGAAAAACTTCAATTTTTTTTTTCAAGTTTTTTACTCACAGTTTTGAATTCTTATTAAAATCTTATGCAATCAAAAATTATATTATTATTTTTTGCAAAATAAGGATTAGGAAAGAAATTACGAATAAGATATCACGAATGAGGTAGTCTAAAGAAAAAAATAAAGATTGATTGTTAGATACTATTAGCGTGTTCTTCTTAGTTGTCAAAATTGTGTAACAAAGTCAACCATCAGAGAGCGTAAAAATCTTATCTTGAAGATCTGAGTATTTTCAGAAAAAATTTTGAAATATATTTATATTATTTTTATAAGTATTTTATATTATATTTATAACGAAATTAGGTTATTAAAAAAATAAGATCAAATCTTACACGAAATCGTGTGATTTAGAATATGAGTTCTATTTGAAAACTTTCTGTTTTGAGAATAAAAATTTAGGTATTGGGAAAGAATATTATTAAAATTTTGCGAATAATTATTTAGTGATAATTAAAGAAGGAAATACAGACTCAAATATAAACGAGTTTTTACATTATGTTTGTTGTTTCATTATTATGTAATATTTTTTTTGAATTTAGCGATTTTCATCAAACACAATTAGTGGTTGTAGAAAGGATAGAAGATGTATACAACTTTTTTTAAAACCGCATTATTTGAATAAAAATAGTTTCTGCTCGGATACTGTTTTATTTATTTTATAAAATTGCTGATTCAATGAGCAGAGTCCAATGACAGCTTCGTAAAAAAACTCCTTATTAACAGTTTCTCAACATTTCCAGCATTCAATTTTATTTTTAATAACTGTGAAAGGAACTTTTGCTGTTCATAACGACGTCTCAGATAATTTTCTTTCGAAGCTCAATAAATCGTCTTGTGTTGTAACAAGAAGATACAAAATCGTTGAAAATTACACATCAAATGCACTTTTTACTTATTCATTCCGTAATATTCACTGAACCTGCCACACGAACATCACTAAAGCAGGAAAATGGGTGTGCCTGGCAACGGAAGAAGCAATTAAACCGTATGAATTCTGCATAATTATATTCTCTTCCAGTGGTTTTACAAATTGCGAAAAGAAGCGAACTCGATTTGTTTTCGATTGCGGTGGCGTGTTGCTCTCGTTGCACCCCAAGGTTGTTAAAGTCTCCCCAGTAATAAAACAACGAGACGTCTGAGGGTAGAGAAATGCATGAAAATCAATTCGGGTGAGGCAGAGCCAAGCTTACATAAAAGTACTAGTTTTTAATGAACGTCGTGTTGGCACGAGATTCACAACGTTTCTCGAGGCTTTTATGACAGATCCGCCCTGCACGCTTTCTCGGTTTAGAGAGAAATTTATGACGGCGAGTGAGCAGTCCTCAACGGGATTTTGTGCAAAAATGATCAATCGTTTATCATCGAGATGACGTTCTATCATGTTAGTCGAGGAACTTCCTCATTCGGGGGATTCACACAATAAATAACTCCGACATGGTTGTGAAATTTATCCGATCGTGTAACACAATCAATGAGAGCTTTTACGATTTTAATGCTAGATTTAACTTGATGGTATCGTAAAACGTGAATTATTTTTCTGTGGAAAAATCGTAATTGTTTAGAAAACTGTGAAAGTTTTTACGGCGAGGCGACATTTTTGACTGAGGCGCACGTCGCAATTATCATGCGCCAGTGGTAAACCAAATTATAGACATGATACGAGAGAATAATCAGACCATCCTTTCCTTTTGAAAATCATATTTAGAGCAGCAACGATAGTATTTTCTTCATTCCATTCATAATTGTTGTTGCCAGCAACAACATGGCCAGGGTTTTTCGATTCGGAGGTTAATGTTTCATTTATATTTTATTATTTCCGGTGAAGAGGATGCATGACCATTTCAAGGACGAGCATTTTTGTAAAGGTAATTTTTGCCAAATTCGCACGGGAATGAAACACAATTACCCAAAATTAATAAGATTAAAAGATAAGATACTCTAGAAGAGTACATTTTCGTATAGCAAAAACGACAAATTTTTATCTTCTTCTACCTAAGGAATAAAGCTACTCTTTGCTTCCAAACTGTCACAAATTGTTCAAAAACATACCTAAACAGCTATGGTAAAAATAAGGGACTACTCAGCAGTCACAACGGAAATGATTGAAGAAAAGTTTTTTTTTATAGTAAAAAAGATAGTTATTTCAACAAGTGAGGAAGCGTAAAATTTTATAGCTTCGATACCTTAGAAAGCGTATCTTGATTTTTCTATATTTTCTTTATTCATTTACATTGAGGAAGATGATACATGGCTCAAAAGTTCTCGGTTTAGGAGTCACCAGTACAGAAAGTTACACTTTTTCGGAAATAATTAACTCAGGAACTCGTGTTAATAAACTGACGTTTTTATTATTTTTTTATACTTTGTGTGTTGGAGGTACTTTGTAAAAAACAAAAATTAAAATAAATATACAGCGTGCGCCAGAACTTACACCCCAGAGAAAAATGCCATGTAAGGTAAGATACCAGGAACATGGAAAAAATGTTAAAAAATCTATGAAATCTATCTATAAAAATTGAATGAGAGTTTAAATTTTGCACTTTGAGTCTATTTATTTCTGTTGGAAAAATAATTTTCCAATTTTTTTTACTACAGGCTATTAGAGGAGGAAACAAGGAAGTTGTATTCCAAATTGTAACTCTGTAAATGTTATTTGTGGCTTTTATTGGCAAAATTTTTG